GGGCCGCTCACCTTCACAATGGACAGAACACCCTCATTGGTCTTGGGGTCCGTGCGGATGGTGAACTGCCCATCGGGGTCGCCTTCCAGGATGGTAAACCTGGCCACCCAGTTGGGGGAGCCTGGCAGGTCCCTATCCTCCACCTCCAGGCGTCCCACATCCACTCCGCTGATGGCCTCTGTGGCCTCCAAGAAGAACTGGTGGTGGGGGGGATCCCAGCCCCAGTTACCAGCAGGGCTGGGGGGAAAGCATGGGTGGGGCCCTCAGGGCCCTCAGCTCACCCACCCCTCCCACCCTCCCTCCTGCCTCCCAGCAGGAACGCCCTCCCTTGCTCCTGCCGAAGCTGCTCCCCACCCACTGGGTGTCCTCAGGTCTGTCTGAGTCACTGCCCCCCAGGGGCCTCCATGGTCCTCCTCCGTGGGCTCAGCTTCATGCTCCCTTCCCATACAGCAAGGGCCGGAGGGAGACTTGCTCCCCGATGCTAGATGGTCCCAGAGGGCCCTACGGGCTGCTTCTCCCCAAGGGCCTCTCTCTCAGCTCTGACTCCATTCACATGCTGCCACACACCACCCCCGGGCCCATCATGAAGCCCCCTGCCTTCTGCAGGAGCCCAAGAAGGGAAGGCAGCTCTAAGCAGGGGCTATTTTTGAGGGAGGGACAGCAGCAGCACCTCGTTCCTGGTGAACTCGGGGGCATTGTCATTGATGTCATCAAGGGTGATGATGGCTGAGGCAGTGGCTGTGAGGCCGTCTCCGGACATGTCTGCCACCTGCAGGGTCAGATTGTACACCGCGACCACCTGGGGATGTGGGGCACAGGGTCAGAAGATGAGGGCCCAGGTGGGCCACATGGGGACTGGTCAGGGGCGGGAGCCAGGCCACCTGGCCAGCTCAGTTCCTACGGGAGCGCCCAGTGGGTGCTGAAGACCCCAAATGGCTCTGAGAATCGTGCCCTGATCCTAAGTGCATGCAGCTGTGGTGCTGCCCCAGCCTATGGCGCTGGATAAGCATTTACAGAGCACCTACTGTGCGCTGGGTAAGCGTTTACAGAGCACCTACTGTGCGCTGGGTAAGCGTTTACAGAGCACCTACTGTGCGCTGGCTAAGCGTTTACAGAGCACCTACTGTGTGTTCAGTGCCTAGCATACCAGTGAGCTTGGGACCCTGCCCTGGGGAGCCGTGGTTAGTGGCAGGGACAGAAATGGACAAAGACCACATAACACAGTGTAACCAGGAGGGCTTCCCAGCGGGGCTGACTCAAGGGGGGTCTTTGGGGAGCACAGAAGTCCGAAAGCAAGGGGCAGCGGGGGCCCTGACAGAAGGAGCTAGTTACTTACTAGCGGGGAGCCGTTGCCATGAGGCTGAGAGGGAAGGGGCTGCTTGGGGAGCCCTGCTCTGTGCCGGGCCCCTCACGCTCTATGTGGACCAGATCCCTCCCGCCTGGGCCAGTGCGGCTCCTGTCTGTGCATCAGTGGGTTCACCCCACGCCATCTCCTCGGGAGCCAGGGCCACTGCCAGCTCTGCAGCGACGGTAGGGACAGGAGTGTCTGGGGTGGGCAGGCTGGGGGCAGAGAGACCCACAGGAGATGGGCTGCTCTGGCTGTGTGGGGTGGAGCTGCTGGGGTGCCACCTCACCTCACGGTCCAGCCCCACTTGCACGGTGCGGATCTCGCCTGTGAGCTCGTCGATGCTGAAGAGCTCGGGGCCGCCCTGCTGCAGGATGGAGAACCGCAGTGCCGCGTTGTCTGTCTCGGGGTCGTCGGCATCTGTGGCCTCCGCCCTGGTCACATAGGTGCCTGGGAAGCACAGGGAGGCATGAGGGTCAGCGTCCACAGGGCCGATGGGCTGGGGGCATCGTGAGGGGCACGGGGGCACCTTGTGTGCACAGGCTCCCTGGTTCCAGCACGGCTTGACCCCAGATGGGGCAGTCAGTCCATGCTGCTGTTCGCATCACCAAGGCGGCCTACACGCGGCAACCCCCAAGTCCAGATGCTTCCCGCTGCCCCTGAAGTTCACCACGCCGTGTCCAGGCCACCGATGTGGTGGAAGCCTTTTGCCTGGCTTGTACTGTTTATGGGGTGGCAGCACAGGAACATAGGATGCTCCTGGGACAGGTGCTGGCTCCTGTGCCTGCCCGGTGCAGGGGCTGAGGGCACTGGGTCAGACTGGGCTAGCTAGCGGGGGGCCTCCAGGAGCTGCTGGCATCCAGGGTGACAGAGGACTCATGGGCAGGCTGAACAGAGGATGCACGGGCAGGATAAAACAGAGGACACACGGCAGTTGAGCGGAGGACGCACACCGCATCTGTGTAGGCCAGAGCCCCAGCCCCACCTGCTGTGGGAAGCAGCACCCGGGAAGGTGCTGCTAGAGGAAGCCACATGTGGTAGGGCTATGCTTCACCTCCCCCCCCATTTCCCTCTCCTGAGATTTAGATCTGACTCCTCTGGCAGCTCAGGGGGACTGAGCCACTGAGGTGGGGTGGGAAGCACAGGCTTCGGGCCACACTGGGGAGCAGCTCCTAGCCGGCTGTGACCTCCCCCCCGGTACAGCTGGAGCCAGGACGTGCTGTCTGTCACCTGGGACAGAACGAGGCGCGGAGGCCGTGCCACAGACACAGGAAGGAAACTGAGGCAGGATATGAGCCTCCAAGCCTGAGCCTGGGCCAGGCCTGGCTACAGTCCCTGGTAGCCCCAGACACGAGGGGGCCTGTGTCCTTCCGCCAGGTCTTTACCACAGGCCCCCAGGGAGGTGGGAACGAGCCCGTGACTGGGGCTTGCAGGCCAACCCGGGTTTGGGGTGAATCACAACCAAGGGATGCCTGTGGGTGCTTCGGACCCTGCGTGAGTGCAGGGTGAGCATGGGGTGTGCTTGGCTCCAGATGCCCCCTCAGCAGGAGGGAGAAGTCATTTGCTTTTGGGGAGAACAGGACCCCTGAAAACCCTCCACTCCCAGGCACAGATTTTTGGGTCTGAAATTTATATTGAAATGGGAAGTGGCTTGAGTTGACCTGTGGAAACGGACATTCCTCGGAGACCTGTTTACTTATTTTTAGACTCTCCGAGGGGCCTCTGGAATTCTTGCTTGAGGGACATCCTGGATTTCTGGCTTCGCAGAGCCCTTCCCTGCAGCCCCTCCCGGCCCGGGGCCGCCGTCCTGTCTCACCTGGGGCTGCGCCCTCCAGCACGCGGCCGGTGAACGCCTCCTGCAGGAACACTGGCCGGTTGTCGTTCTGATCCACAACTACAATCTCCAGGTCCGTGGGGTCCTCCAGGGTGGATCCTCCCAGGTCCAGGGCAAACGCTCTTAGCTGTTCAAACACAGAGCAAGGGCTGGCTCTGTGGGCCCCAAATTTCTGTGGCTCCCGTTAGGGCCATGCGAAAGAGACAGCATGTTCAGACTTTGTCTCCAGCTGGAAACACCAACTTAAACAGGAGAGAAACAGCACAGGGTGGGGTATCTGTCACAGTGGCTGAGAATGTCCCTGAACGGGAGCCACCTTCCCTTAGCAGACAGAGCAGGTGCCATTTTCCCTGCTTGCCTTGGCTGCCAGGAAGCTCACAGCTGCTTCATGTGTGACTAAAGTAAGGCTCTCAAAGGATTCCTAATCTCTCTCCCTTTCTCTCTATGGTCTTGGTTCCTCCTGAAGTTTTTTTTTTTGTTGTTGTTGTGTTGTTTTGTTTATTTAGCACGGAGTTTCCGCTCTTATTCCGCCCACGCCTGGATGCAGGCGTGTCTCAGCTCCACTGGCAACCTCCGCCTGCCGTTAAAGCGATTCTCCTGCCTCACCTCCCAGTAGCTGGATTACAGGCACACTCCACCATGCCCAGCTAGTGGTTTGTATTTTTATAAAATAGGTTTCATCATGTTAGCCAGGCTTGGTCCGACTCCCTGACCTCCAGGATACACCTCCGTCCTCCCAAAGTTCTGGGATCACAGGCCGTGAGCCACAGCCCAGCCTCCTCCTGAATAAATTCCCTGTGCACATGACATTTTAAAGCCTCCATCCTTTTTGGAGAATGGCAAATTACCATTTCCAAAGTGAAAAATACCTCTAATAACATTTGATGTAAGGGATCAAAGACTGGTTCTCGAAGGTCTAAAGGAAGGTTCGGGGCAAATAAAAGGAATTTTGCTTCCCTGCAAAGCAAAGGCAGGAAGCATCCTTCCCCACATCAGGACGAAATTACTTTTTCTTTTTTTTTTAGACAAGTCTCGCTCTGTCCGCGCTGGAGTGCATGGCGCTCTTGGCTCACTGCAAGCCTCCACCCCCGGGTTCATGTCATCCTGCTCCAGTCCTGAGTAGCTGGTATCTACAGGCGCCGCACCACCCCGGTAATTTTGGTATTTTAGTAGAGACGGGGTTCACCGTGTTAGCCAGGATGGCTTCGATCTCCTGACCCTCGATCTGCCTCCCAAGCCTCCCAGAGTGCTGGGATTACAGGCGTGAGCCACCACCATGCCTGGACTTTTTTTTTTTCTTTTTTGAGATGGCGTCTCGCTCTGTTGCCCAGGCTGGAGTGCAGTGGTGTGATCTCGGCTCAACTGCAACCTCCACTTCCTGAGTTCAAGTGATTCTCCTGCCTCAGCCTCCCAAGTAGTGTAGATTATAGGTGCGTGCCACACCTGACTAATTTTTTATATTTTAGTAAAGACAGAGTTTGCCATGTGGCCAGGCGTCTTGAACTCCTGACCTCAGGTGATCCCCCCGCCTCAGCCTCCCAAGTGCCAGGATTACAAGCATGAGACACTGCGCCCAG